TATATATATATATATATATATACGCCACTGATGCGAAGACACACCAGAAAGATATCAATCGGAAAGCTAACTGATCTGTCTTGGATTCATACCTTACGCGGTACCACTTAATTTAGCGAGCCCGTTCATCAACGCTTCGTTGTGCTTAGGATACTCTTCCGTCAAATATTCCTAATTCCTGACCTAAGTTTTATTGCCGTTCGGCCGATATGACCTAAAGCAGTTCAACCGATATGTTTGTACTGCCATGTCCTGAATTTCATCCTCTTGGTTGTCCCACTTTCATGCGCGTGCGCTGTCTACACCAAGTTCAGAAAGAAGACCTTTTAGTGTCATCCCACTTTTATGTGAGAAGCAGTGGTGCGACTAGCTCTTTTTCTGTTGAGTTGATTGCTCCTGTTTTTGATGTTATAATTTATTCGTATGAAGCTTCGTTTGTGTTCAGCTCAAATACGCGTATCATATGATTTGACCGATAAATATTATCATGGCATTTTGCCATTTTTATCGCTGGTGGACAAGAAGTCTTTTGTAGTTTTTCAAAGTTCCAACCTGAAGCAGTTATTGTGCCGAATAAGTAATGCTTCTGGACAGGAATATGGCCTATATAAAACAAATCTTGCAGTGCATAAATTGCCCGCCGCAGTGAACTGATGGAAGAGCAAAAGAATGCTCTCATTTCTTGAGTCACTTTTTGAAACAATATTTGCTTCACAAGTAACATTGTTTAGATTACAAAACCGCATTGTTTGGCTTCATTTAAGTTTTACTGAGTTCGGTTTTCTTTACCAAGCCACGGACAAAACACGCATGCTTGAAAATGCATGCCACTTTTGCTTTCAGGACAATGAAAATATGTAGTTCATTAGCTTGAGCACGTGTGTTTTTGTCTCCTGTTTATGAAAAATTATCTGCACACGATTTTCGAGACGAATGCCTGCGGGCGACTCAAAAGCTTCAACGAAATCTTCTTTATCTGAGTAATAGAAATAGAAGTCCGCAATACCTACCACAGGGCTTCAATTTGGGCTTATTAGCTAAGTTGTTTTTCGATGAAAGGGTATCGCATTTTATCAGGAGTGTTCGTAATCTTAATCAGAATATAAAAACGAAAATTTCATCCTGGTGGAAAACCAATTCGGCACTGTTTCGAAGAATTGGAGCGTATATTATGAGGAGATTATGAGTTTGTTGGACTCTTGGTACCTGTTGAGTTCTGTGCTTAGTTAAACTAAATTCAAATAATTAATTTAGTTAGTTTAGTTAGTCGAATATAATCAAATTAAAATTAAAATTTTTCAATCAGTGAGAATTCTCTCCAACAGACCAATTTCCTATTCAAAGTTTACGGGATTTTCTTAAGTAAGTGGTACCCCGTAATTTTGTTAAAGGTGAAATGGCGTCTCCAGACAACCCCAAATTTCACTAACGAATAACAGTCCTAGTTCGAGAAATGACTGTTTGCGAGAAAACAACGACATCAGTATTGATACAAAGACATTTCAAAATGTAGAATGAATTCGCGCAATGCCGTGTCTTTTCCCGAAACGTGATCGAGTGTAGTCTGTCTTCCACGATATATGTTCAGAAATGGGCAACCGGTGGTTACTTGGTGTTTGGCTTGCTTCAAAATTTTCGAAAACAACTTGCAGTGAAAACGATAATCGGACCCTGAAAGTTATTGAGCCCCATAAAGCGATTGTACGCAATAGGCACTAGATCATAAATATAGTTCATGACGATAGAAGTTGGAGTGGTTTTCTGGGTTATTGCCGTTGAGAAGCATCAGGTTCTACGCCCAAACGAATGTCTTTTAGAATTCGTGTAAACTCCGGCAGAAGCAACTTATGCCGTAAATTTATATTCTTGAAAATCTCAAATCCTTTTACGATAAAATATGTTGCTTTTGAAATGTATTCCAAAGTGTAGAGATATATGGATGACCTTTTGCCCAGTAATGACTCAAACAAGGTATAATCTAGATGATCAGTCCTCTAGGAAATGCTGCTTGGAGGAATGATTGAAAAGCCGGTTAATTTGCGCTTTCGTCTGATTCAAATTCTTCATCGACTTCCAATGTTTGAACTGAACTAAACGACCTACGCCCCCCTGTGTGAAGTCCATTCTCCGCTGAACTCTGAGTGTATGGAATGCCGGGTAGCACCTCCTCTTCGTCAGTTATGAATGTGCTTGCCTCTGACTCGCCGTCTTTTCCTTCTTTGGTTTGGTTGGTTGGGTTTCCCGATGTTTGAATTGCACTGATATCCTCCGATTCGACCTTGGTCATCTCTTCATTCCCCTAGTGGGGATAAACGCATTTAAAAATGATGAGTTTTAAGATAAGGGCTAACAAAACAACGTGGTGCAAAAGAACGTGAAAACGATTCTATTTTATACAACACCAATCTAAACAGACGGCGACAAAATTTTAAATGATATCAATTTGATATCAGTCCATGTTTTTATCATTGAGATGAGAAGTATGTTGCTTCCATGTTAGCACTCTATACACCTTCAGGATCGAACTGTTCATAAAGTTATCAAGGGGCATCAGAGATGACTGAAAACTAGTACCAATTTAGTACTTGCTGAACAGAGTGAACTCGGTGGCACGCATGCTACACGCGTTGTCCAAAATTCACCCTAACTGGGAAGTGAAACTGGGCTGTCAGGTCACCATGAGGGCAGAAGCAACAAAATTGCTGTAAAAATGACACAAGAACACAGAATAAACTTCAAGGAGATTGTGACAGCTGTGCTTTATACACTCCAGAACAGATGAAGCAGTCACTGCTCACAGAGCAAAGCCTTAACTTTGGTTTTAAAAACCATTCGTAGCCAACGTTGATTTCTCGTGGAAGTTCATCGACCCCGCTATACTGATGACCCACGTTCTGACTTAAGTCAAACTCCCAATCACGTACCTCCATTCATTTAATATTGTTTTCCAAAAGCATCATACTTATTGCCCTCAGATGTTGTCGCTTTGTTTTAAAGTTTGATTTCAATATGTCGCGTGTGCACTACAGACATAACTCCACCAGGAGCAACTAATGAGCCCCAGTCCGTCATCGAAGCTTGCATTCTCCAATGTTCTGATATGATTCTTTAACTTTCTGGAAGGGGCTAAGGCCTTCAATCTAATTAGCTTCCGGTTAGCCCATTTTTCGCAAACAGAAAAAAAATAAGTTAACGGACGGTGGAGTAAAGGCTGCCCGACCGATGATTACATGTTTGTGCCTCAGAATAATTTCTGACGAGCGTCTTCAAATGCCACCTCACAGCAGCAAATAGGAGTGAGATATGCGAGTCAAAAGGTATGTAAACAAAACATTTACATATAAGAATAAGGGATCAAAGTCTTGTACTACAGTTTAAGTTACCTGTCCCACGAATTTTACAGAAGTCATCTCCTCGCAGTACTTATTCCTGAGTCAACGTCAATCAGCCGATAATTCCCACATTTGTTTGACTACTCATGAGTAGAGTGACTTAAGGTGTTTATTATTATACCGCTTTCTTTCCCTCGTTCCCAGAGTTTTATTCCCGCGTGAAGGCTGTGTACGCTATAGCTAATAATGATAAAATTCTGTGGCCTTTCCGTCTTCGCTTGCAATTTCGTGCCAGTTCTACCTATTTATGATTGGCGGAAATCGTGTCACCCTATGGTCGAACTCGGATGGCAGATGGGTGTTCTATGCATGACACAAACTCGACTTCCTCGTAAGCCCTGTTCGTTGTATTAGGCTTGTATTGCGTCTTTTTTGATAATGCATATTTCGATTTCGTTTTAGACGATCGTAAGCATACAACTCGATTTGAGACGTAAGAGTTCGTCACGTTGTCAGCCACAGTTGGCATTCTTATTTATTCGTAAAAATCTCCCAAACATACTGGCTGTCTTCTGTGCCATTATCTCTATATACGGCCTATCCACACTGTTTGTCTGCCCGTGTCCAAAAGCCTGTTGCCTCACTGTCCCTTTTTCTGCGTCTATTGATTGTGCTATTGCTGGTTAACCAGTTACTAATACAATGTCTAGCGTCCTCATCCGTCTGTTCCCAATGGCCACTGAATACGGACTGCGAATCGTTCGATAACTCCGATCATCCTGTAAGATCCTTAGCCGCCCCGGATCCTACACGGACTGTGGTGATATGTCAGCTGACAATTGGTTTCTTCTTCCTCTATAGTGTTGACAAGCTGGCGGAAATTGGGACTGTGTTTGTAGCGTATTTGAGTGTAGATGCAGAACCCTCATTCATATTGCATAGCTGCGGTGCACACATGTGAGCGGGAAAAGACGAGTATTCTGCCACTTGGCGCCACCTGATAAGTTCGTCCGTTGTGTGCGAGAACAATGAATTCCTTAGAATTCCGTTGTAATTGATCTCACTCGAACTTGTCGAATAAAAACTAACAGCCTCAATGTAAGGCTCACAGTTGGATATGTTTCATCGGAGTCGAAGCTACGTTTCTTCTAACAATTTAGCTATGGGACAACGCAGTTCAACTTGGTATCGGATTTGGGCGATGTAGCCAATCATCATAAACGCATATATTGTAATTGCCGTCTCTATTGTTTTTGGATATTCGTTCTACCAGAGGAGCGAGGGACTTAAACTTTCCCACCGATTTGGTTGTCAGAAGATGTTGTTAGATTCACATAACTTTACAGGCTCGCATTTCGGTTACGGTCTTAAAAGGAGTAAGAAACAGTGGGCAATGAGTGTGGCAGATTAAATGAGGAAGATTTCGAACATTGACTTTAAATTCACTAGTAAAGATCTCATAAAGTTTTCGAGAAATACACTTATTTGAAAATCAATTTGGTTTTTCACGAGAGACTCAACTGAATCTCCCGTTTATGATGGTAAACAAACAAATTGATTTGCAAATGAGTGTATTTCTCGAAAACAGTGCAATTTGGGTTCAAGTAGAACATGAGGTTGATGGAAACTCGGGGACTGCGCCTACCTGATGAGCCCCAAGAACAGCGAAACTGGTCGTGGGGTGTCGAAGAGTTTTCAGCAACCTTGTGAGTAGTTTCCTTCATGTCTCATAAAGTTCTTGCCGGGACCAACGTCGTCAAGCAAGATGGGCTAAATTGCGAACCAGTTAATCGTCCATTTTATTAAGACAACGATATGTGCTGTCTTGAAGTCCGAAAGAGCATGTACGATACGTTTCTAATAGGGCCCAGATACTTTGACTTCAGTGCGTTATGATGATGCTCATTTCATTAAGGCCAATCACGGTGACCATGTGTCTTCAAGTCATGAACAGAGTAACTTGGCAAGAATGAACTCACACACTCACATTACTCTTTCAGTAAGGCTGAGTTAAATTATCTAGTAACTTGGCACCCTGATCACACCTTTCAAAATAATCATGAAAAAAAGAATCACAGTTTGCCCGCATGCGCAGACTGTGCAAGTACATTATAGCGCTAAAACGATGGACTCACCTCCGCCATTCTGTATGGGTTTCAAGATGAAGTTATTAGTATGCAGGCTCAAACATCTCGGTACCTATGTAGTATAACTAGCCGGTATTTCCTGGTGAAGTAGATTGTAGCCCTAACTTGCATCTATTAGTTAAGCAATCAATAATGCCTTTGCATAATTTGATGCTCCTTCCCGGGAGCATGCTAAATAGTATGTCAGACCTTGTAAACCCTCTACATTTAACTTGATAGTTTCACCGTAAACTATAGTTCCGTATTTATTAACCGAAAGGATAGGCTACTCCACCCCTTTTCATGGATGTCACTAAAGTTGAGCTACGTATTCTTTTCACTTCCATCTTTATTAAATGCGCATTCATCCGTCAATCTACACCTCTAATTCGCCCATTTGGCAATTTAAACCATTTAAAGTTGAATATCTGGACCATAAGCTGCAATGTCAAAGTTAAATCCCTTCTTGGTTGTCTTCATTCTTCAATCTTGAAACCTCATACACATCCCGGAATGGAGATAAGGATGAACCACATGGCATAAATTAGGTAAACCAGATAATTCATACACATATCACGTCAGACCATGCATGCATGATGGTCCCAGTTACTTGCAGATTTATGACCATTATATTTTATTAACTCACGATAGCATAACCAACTTGATGCACATCTGACGACATAACTAGATCGAAGCAATCCACTATGTGAATGACCTTACCATCGGTTTTTACGCAAGCCTGACTTTGAACCCTCTGGATTTGATGTGAGAGCTCAAAGGTAGACAGCCGCCTGGAGTCACTATGACATAGCGCAGATAGGTGAAAATTGTCGAGAACAGGATGACTGGACTCGATGCAGACCTAGATACACCCGGTTAGCCGCCAACACCAACCGCATAACTCAGAACTACTCAGGCATCAACAGAAAAGCCAGATAATGACTCAACTATTGGTTTTGAATACGTCTCATCTGATAAGATCAGGTCAACTCAGAAAGATGCAGTAGATGTTTGAATTAGAAGGACACAATAGGCTACAAGATTTCTAACACTCATTTAGTCTGCTAAGCTGCCATGATAAGGCCACACACTTCAACCAACGTCACATTCAATGATCCCATGCAGCCAGGGAATGTAGCCCTGAGCGGATCAAAAAGTGAACAAAAGATCATGACAGAGGCAAGTGTTCCACCTAACCGACCATTTATCCACATTTTAGGCTTGTTGGCTTGATGTGGAAAACACTGGCAATATTTCATTTCCGAAATGGTTGCCGTGACTACGGGAATTTACTCTACAATGGCAACAACGAAATTCTTCTGTTTATTCAGGCGTGGTTCATTTCTGCGTGCATTACTGACAGTCGTGTTTCTCGTAGTAAGGCGGTATCAACAGAACAAACGTGAAAATGTACCCTTTGATCATTGTTTATTTGGATTCTCTGCTTATGCATTTATCTCCTCCATAAAGGATCAGCTAGGACATCGGTTAATGTAGATGGAAACACATGGAGTTAGGTTTGTACTGCGGTGGTGGACTCAAAGGACTGTTGATGGTAGTAAAACTCGTGTATACTGTAAATACCAACAAATTTGTACAGTTGTTTTTGGAAATGATCTACAGCGATAACTTTAACTTTCACACTACCGACCTTCCAGTTAGTAGTGACAGCGTACCCACCAACAAACAACCCACCCACAACCAACAAACAAAAACTCTAAGCATTCTGCCAAAGAACAGACGTGCCTCCCGTCCCGGGGAGCATCACCCGAGATACCACTGAACACATGTGCAACAGTGTGATTTTAGTTGATGAGGTATAAATGACATGTCACCCTGTCTAGGTGTGAATTAATCAGCCGAACGATTTAGTCTCTAAATATTATCCAGGGAATTGAGATTTCAGATTGCTTTGGACATTCGTAAGATGCACTTGCTGATGATTTCCAAAAGGGATGGAACAGCTCTATTTTCTTCTTAGCTTAGATTAACTCAAATTAACTTGGATTAACTTCATATGTTGGATAAAATCTATACTCAAGTAGGTTAACCTTTAGCCGATAAAAACGATGACTCATTTAGGTGAGAGCTCAGCCATTTGCACAGAATGTCGGAAGAATAAAGATAAACACATCAAAGCCACTGAGAACCAGGATGGTGCTGATCCTGACGATGGTTTTGATGTTGAGCATGATGGTGAAGGCAGGGAGACTATATCACCGATATGAGGGAGCGAATTTACTTAGAGATTTTACAATCGACCTGATTTCCGAAGTGGTTTCCACAAACCCCACCTGGATCTCCTGTAATTTGGATGAATGTAATTTTTTGTGGGCACGCCAAGCGTGTTGGATGATGACTGCTGAGTGTTCCTCCTTCTCCGAAACAGGAATCTGTGCAGTTCTCGATATGCTCTGTTCCGGCACACTGAAAAGGCAACAAAAAACTGAAACATTTAAAATCTTTCCGCTGACAGATACACGGATGCAGATAAAATAGGCGCATTTAGATTGGAGATACCTTCCTATTAAGCAGTGACCTCCAGAATGAGGTTTTCATGAATACTGTATCGGTATGAGAGCACATGGCGGCTGAGCAGGCGTGTCCAGCAGGATTCAAGTTTTCCCAGCTCATTTCGGGTACACTAAAATGAAACTAAGTGTTGGAACTAGAGTGCTTCAAGATTATGCAACTATGTTTATCAGACACAAACACATGTTGTCCTGACCTGGTGAGATACGTGAATGATCATGAATAGTTCAATGGGGATGGTTCAATGATGGTAGTATACAGTCCCATAAGTTTTTGTGGGCTTCCACTTGTCCTGGTTTCAGCGTATTCACGCATGTGAACTGGAAAATAGTTCGCTCTCTTAACTTTGACTCTCGGACGATTAGAATAGTCTCATTCCAAGATATCAGGACTTGTTTTTTGAATCGTAAACGCGGACTGTTAAGGAAATAATTCAAAAGTTACGTTTCTCCACAGCAACCGAAACTCAGTCAGGTAGGAGGTGGTTCCATTGGGCAGCATACATCAGATCATGGCAGCCGGTAACCAACGGTAACAAAATGTTTCCAGTATTCAAGATTACCGACCAGCTACTGCATTGTTCTCTCAGAAAACTTGTTACACATTTGCTCCAGTTACATTGTACACCCCTAACCCTTGTTAATAAACACAAATTTTCAAGAATAAATACCAGAATTCATCATCATCATCAAAGACAGCAACATCCGTGTCCGCACTGATGCTTCACTGCCGTACAACCATAAGGTTCGTCTATATATAGAATGCGTCAGGGAAGAGACCTAGTGCTGGTCTAAGTCAAGTATTCTGAGGTACCTACACCTCCAATCGCTCAGTCAATGTGCAAAGAAACTCACAGCACGAACGCCGCTAACATCGATTAGCCACCGTTTCTTGCAACGTCTCCAGCCAAGCAAAGACGGGGTCACGGGGACCTCATCCTGGAAGTCACACAACACAAACAACACCTGAACTCTTCGTGATCTCTTTCACACCTTTCTGCCAAGTCATGTGCTCTCCACCTGGTGGTTTGTGCCATCTTGAAGGAGGCACGGGGAACAACACTCATCTCGGTAGACGGTGTTTCGGAATGCGTAGCACATGACCGAGCCATCGTAGTCGATGATGCTGGATATTTTCTCAGACTGAGATACCCGCCGCACAACCAGATACCCGTTTTCTAATAACCTCGTTACTAACACGACGCCATCCATAACCAACCACGCTTCTGAGGCGTAGGTGGTCAAAAACCTGAAGATACCTCACGTCATTTGTCCTCATTTGGTGTGCCTACTCATTTCGGTGTGCGATTCTACTGAAATCAAAGACTTTCACTTCGACTGGTCCCCAGGCTGTTTAATAGATGCTATTATTTCGACTCATATATTTTGACCTAACCGGTTTCGTGTTCAGAGAGTATAAAGGATTAAAAAGCGGTTATCTATCAGCAGGCTGAATCTTTACCAGTAAAACAATTTTTGTTTGAACAGCTTTCCTACTTTCGCGGTGCGAGTACTCTGAATAGTTCTTATAAAAGGGAAGAAACGGTGAGCACATGTTTAGCTTCTGTCAAAGCTCATCAGTAATGCATAGCTCTGCTGGCAATCTAACCAATTTCACAAGAAAGGAGAAGGTTATCCAAATTTTGAGTACTGTTGGTACCACTGGACTTCCAGAGTCAAGCGGAAGTGACCCACTCCTTTTTTGTCGGACACACCGAAAGATTTGGCTGTCAAATGAAGTCAATGGCGTTCGCATTCTCTGAATATACGTTAAGTGTAGATACATCGAATGATTCTGATAGGTTAGCTCAGAGCCCTCCCACTTTTCCATTTTTCTGTTTTCCGTTATAAGAGTCCACTCAAACAAACTAACTTAGACTTACGCGATGAAGTAACAGTGATCTTCACTAGTGCTGCTGTAGTTGATGATGATGATGACGATGATGGATTTGGTGCCGACGATGACGACGATCAGCCCCTATCGAATGGTACCGCTACGCTAGTGTGGCAGTACATATGACATCAATACCAGAATACAAGTGAGCCACTATCAATATTGTTACGGACTGAAGACGCACAATTCTATGCGGTCTCCGTGAACGGGCAGGATATGCTCTTCGTGAAGTCCACCCACTTTTTATACCTCGCGTTCTCCGGGGACTGACCAGCCACTCGCTTGAGTAATACAGTAAGCAAAATGACTCGATCCACAACGAATGATGTGAAAACTCAATAACAAGCGGTGCGTTATTTTAAACCTCTAGGAAAAAAACATTTATACAGGTCTGTCGCTTTTATCGTAACTAACATTCTTATTCCTATGAGAAATGGGCCCCCAAATTCTGCACCGTCTGTCGCTTTATCGTAACTAACATTCTTATTCCTATGAGAAATGGGCCCCCAAATTCTGCACCCCTAAAATTTGGCACCTCTTCATACTCTGTACGTTTCACTTAGTGGTTCCATAAAATTAATTCTTGCTCATCTTATTTACCACCTCCTTGAACACTTCAAACGTGTAGCTCATTGTTTTGTCAACTACTTACAATCGCAATGACCTGGCGACCTCCCGATCTTAGCAAACGTCAAAAAAGTTAAAATTTGGACTATCATGTTACACTACATATCGCTTTTTCGCAAACGTTTGGCTATCCAAAAACCCTTCTGACAAAACACCACAGTAAATCCATAAGAAGATACCAATGCGTCATTCTTGGAATGGGGCTTCCATTTGACCAATTTTGTACTTCGATGACAGGCGTCGTTTCCAAAAACTCTCGCAGCAAGGGCATTCCTTCGTTCCTCGGATACCTTATCGAAGCTCACAAGATAAACGTTTGTGAACCTTCTGAGACAGTTTTCCTCTAGCCTTGAGCAACCTAGCAGTATTTCATTCTTCGTGCTTCCTCGGGCGGCGTGGCAGTTAGGCAGCGAAAGGGTGTTACAGCTGAACGGAATGGCACATGAAACAATTTAGTTCTGAAGGCCAAAGTTCAGACGCAGAATGCTCTAATTGTAAGTAACAGTTAGCACTGTTCACTAATGCAATGTAGTATAGTCCTTAGTATCACCATTATAAAGTTAATCCGAAGTTGGCCCATAGTTACCGTATTTTGTTTTCTGATAACTGTTTTGAACACGCTTCTACTCTTCGCTCTACTATCCTGGCAGGGCTGTTCTGATATGCAAGAAAAGCATGGCGTCATTGCTACACCAGCCCAGTTTGCACAGATTGTCCATTTTATCAACCTCACATATGTCTGTGGTGTACAGAAACTAGCAAACTAACAAACAGGAACTACCATACCAATGGGGAAATTTGCGGCCCATTAAGAAGCAATCATTTAAGTAAGGTTTGACCATTTGTATCCGAATTGGCCAAGAATTTTACCCACCAGTACGCTGTGCAAAGTCTGTGAACGATTGTGACTATTCACCAGAGTCTTATTCTGAATAAATTTCGACACCCGTCGAAAGCCAATCATCGCGTGCATGGGTCAGCGGTCACGTGGTATCTGGACAAGGGGGCTTGGAATCTGAATACTAAACCATCATACCTCAGTTTGTTCAGTTGATGTGACGATAAGAACAAAACGCTTGATGCATTGCTTTTGCGGGACCAAAAACTCCTGCTATATAGGATTTTCAAGCGCGTATTTGAATCTGTTTGCTGAATGAGCCGCAAGTAAAACGATGCTTTAGTTACGAACGCCAGAACTTTGGTTATCAAGTTCTAGGGTACATCTAGCCACATCAATAAAGGCGAAATCTCTTTGCAAACATGTGGCTCCTTCACAGAGAAGCAAATCACCCATTTTTGGAATATTCAGCTTTCTCGCTGGATCAATATTCATCCACCGCGTGTCTTGACGGCACTTTGAATAAAAAACACCAGTGACACTGAAGTTTGGCTTAAAAACTAAAAACCGATGAAAAACCTTTAATTTTGCAGAACTTTTGTAGATAATACGCATTATTTCCGCACAATATTGCTTGCATTTGACTCGACATAACGAGCACAGCTCGAAAATCCAAGGAATAAAATAAAAGTACTGTGTGGGTCCCCTATGATAGGAGCCACGGGTTGGGTCCACATGTATTTGCGAACATCGGCAAACTCCAGTTGTTTCACTTCCAAAAGGATATGAACTAGAAGATAGTCATCTTGCAAGCAGGGTGTGCAAAGGTTTTTGCTAGCCGTAGCTACTAGGAGCATGTCCACTATTAGACACCTTTTCTTCCGGATATCCATTTCAGTTGCTCTTCTCCCATATTTGTACTTTGGAAGGTTCAAACCGTAACAGTGATTTTTTGCGGGATTCTAACACAAACGTTCAGCTGAGACAACGCCCTTACTCTATCAGTTGCAGTTCAGTGAACACCAAGAAGAATCCACTCCAATATGCTTTTCAGAGCCAATTTACAAAGTCATTAGGACGCTTCTAGGGAATGTATAGCATAAGACATAAAATAAATCAACACAGTAGACTTCAGTTAGGTTATCAGTCTTCACTCCGTTAACATTATCCACAATGACTTATCGTATCGTGAACTCTAAGATAGCAAAGGCCTAAATTACAGACAGCTTAGTTACTGACGAAACCAACAGCCGGAATATTCGGAAATAAATTTGGAGATAGAATTTTCTTCGAATGAAAGAACTAATGAGTAGAAGCTCCAAGACGAACACTAGCTGCAACTCGATGGATTGCTGCACATATTCAGTTGCATCGGCGCTTGTGTGAAATCTGTTGGCTTTGGGGTGTTTCGCTGCCCAATTGTTTTCGAAACTAGCGCGTACCAGACCTTTTCTCAGAGCCAGGATTTGCGCATGATGAATGTAAGCAAAGTTTTCTTCCTCAGTTTTCTATCAGTATGGTTTGTCTGACTATCCGAAATAAAAACTTTCCAAAAATTTGTGTTCTCATGGCTGCGTGACATTAGTTCACTAGATTTTAATGATGATATCGCTGAGTAAATTGTTTGCCAGTCTTTCATTGACGGAGACACTGCAGCCAAAAGAAGCAGTCCATGTGAGTTAAGGTTAATTAACTTTCAAAATTGTCGCGGGATTTACGGGAGTAGGATGCTAAGCCGCGGATAAGTTCTGCTCTGAAGACCCATGGATAAACCGTAACACTAGGATTTCAATCACGTACTGGGTACAGGTGTCTTGTACCCAGAGAATTTAGGGCTTTGTCTGGATCTGTTCCTCGCAGTCTCGTTCCGCTGTGAATATTTAACAAACCTATTTTTAGGCTTGTCTCTGATAAATTATTCGATAGGCTAACGTCTACTTTGAGAGAAATCGCATAAACGGAATATCGTCAGACATTTCCTGAAAATCTATTCCCGGCAGACAAAGTAAATATTGTCGGTTTTCAGAGCATTCAATCTTGGCAGAGGGCTGTCAAAGCCTTTAGTGGGAAGACTTCTGAAGTGCTTATAAATTTTAGCAACTGGCACATAGTACAATTTACAAGTCATCTTCCTACTGGACAATCTAAAAGCATTGTCGTTTGCTGTATCCCCATGCCCATGGTGCGGAACAGAGGGCTTTATTCACGAATGGAAATACAAACAACCGAATAAGGCAGATAAAATACCACAAACTACGTTCAAATACTCAACCACGAATCGCCCCTTTTGACATCCTAGACTTTTATATGGTTTGACGTCGAACGCCCCGAACAAATACATACCAGTTTGCAGAAACTTGGAAAAGGGACTTACGGCGAGCTATCGAAGTTTCCGACCGGAGTAGCAGCATCCCCGTTCACACGCGATCCAGGAGTTTCAAACTTACGCTGAATAGACTCAGGTTGTGCGACCATGTCTTCATTCACTTTCGTCGCAAAGAGTGCTTTTTTTTTCTTCGGGGCATTGTCTGTGACTAAACGAGATATCAAGTTAAAGGATCTATTGCGCGAAACCGGTTTTTATTGGTGAAATACGATAATTTCATTCTTGCAAACAGAGCTGGGGTTGTAGGACAGTACACAAAAAACTGAGGGCTAGAGAGACGGTTGAATGACATGCCAACTTGATAGCACTGGAAACGTAAGCATACAGCCGCTAACTCGCTCAACTAATTACTGAATTGCTCCAGTTTCTCTTGATCGGTTTAAAGGAAGACTAAGGCATTGTTTTGCTGACTGTCAGACTGCCTGATGGGTAAGTCGTCAAATGACTATCTTGTAAAAATGGCGAATTGGGTAAACAAATGAAACAAGCACCATGAACAACTCACGTGTTGTTTCAATCATCTTGGCGACCAAATCAGGATCCCCAGGGGAGGGGGGAGTAGGCTGTCAAGTATATGTGAGTTAAGGGTTAATTCAAAAGGAACATACCGGCCGATCCATCTGACTCAGGTGGCGTAACTCTAAAAATTCAAAAGTAGCTGTTTAGCTTTTTCACCACTTGGAGGTGTGTGTGAGCGAAAAATTCGATGAAAAACCTCATCATTTTCTGGCTGCCATTTTTGGACTCGCAATCCACGTACATTGATGCATTTACCGTAGTTGAATGCTTGTGGTCTGAACTCAAACGTCAGAGTCAAAAAGCACCCTAAACTATCTTCAAACCACACTGATCTCATTTTGATCTGATCTGATCTGAACTGATTTGTTTTTACAGGAGACAAGCTACTACCAGCAAACGAGTATACGATGCGAGTATACGATGCGAAAGCGACCAGCAGTTTTGAGGCTGCTGAGGCAAGCCTTCAACGTGAGTTGTTTGCCCAGCATTCACAGATGAACTCCAGCCTCCTGGAGCCGCATTAGTGTTCCCTTCTACAAACCCTTACGTTGGGCTACATGCAGTTGAAATTTCGTTCCTTGTCGTCAACACAAGATAGTCTGGGGAGCCGATCTGGAACTTACAAAATGTTTGGAGTTTATCGTTTGTTTTACGAACGTTGTTTAAAAAAGTATTTAGATCACCCACTTTAGCTTGCGAGTGGTGCCGAATATCGGTGGTATCTGTGGTGAGCAAGCTATCCCTGCGACCTGTATTCTGGATGTGTGGTATCTAAGGTTTCTCTAGGGAGTGTAGCACAACGGATCTTTAACAGACTGACGTCAAAGATTATTGTTTACCGACACAAGTCTTCTGAGGTGAAGCGATGTACATGTTAGAACTTGCCAGTCGAGTAATCCTTTAACTTCAGATGAACAGCATTATGCATATGGCAGAGGCAGCGTGTACACTTCGCAAATCGTTCAGGTCCGCATTGGTGGACGAAACCTTCACAACTCGCACCTTTCCCAAGTATCTATTATTTGGCAGGAATCGGGCAAAAGATCCTATTCTGGGGCCACCTGCTAACCGATTACGGTGTACGGATATCCTCTCGCAGTATATCAAGGGACCACCGGTTGTAGAGTGCCCTCCCTACCTAACGACCATCGCTGAAACCATTTTTACTCTATTGGGACCATGTAACTGTGCACCGTAGTAGCATGTTCTCCCACAAATTTTGGAAAACTTTAGTAAGCGGTCGTGCTTCTTTTATCTTCAGATGTGAAAGTAAGTGGATCTAAATGTCCTGTTCAATTACGAATTTGAAGTTCGGCCTAATGCCATATCTGATTTCGGTTAATTCAGGCTTCGAGGTACCAGCTTCCGTTCACCCGTAGCGGTCGCACAGTCTCCAACGGCAACAATGAATAACGGAATTTCATCGATCGGACATTTAATTATTAGTAGTTACAACCGTGATAAGCTAATGAATCACAATTCACTTTGATACGCATACATTTGGCACTCATAAGTGCAAAAATCAAACTCCAGCTACTTGGCCACTCTCAAGACTGTGAAAAATTCTCTTCTAAGTTTAAACGAGTGCACAATTCTGCTTGCTGCACAATCGGCCCGACAATTCTGGTAGCCCTTGAAAGAAGAGAAGAGTGGTCCACTCTAGAATTCCAGTTGTTTCAATCTTCAAACTCAAGCATTACTCGGATGGTTCATGAGAATTTATTGTAGGTCAGCACCTACATGTGCTTAGCCAGAAACTGGATTAAAACTCTCAAAACTTTATCATTCTGAACACGAGTTTAAAAAGTTGCTACTTTTGGTCGTTGGCTTATTCGCTGAGCTGGGCAATTTGATTGCAAACGTTTCATTACCAATCGAGGTGACATCATCAGTGCGTTATTGGGGAGCGTAGTGGTGCGTAGCGGTGGGTTAGTGGTTGGCACAGCCACAAGGTCGATCTTTCAGTCTGAAATCAAAAAGTGATGTCTCCACAAGCGCTCACTACTGAAGAATTTTGAACACTATCACTGTCAACTTCAATGTCCGGAACGGTTACATCCTAGGCCCGTATGTCCCTATTCCACCACCTGGACAATCCATTTGACTAGGAAGCAACTGTAAAAAAACTAGAAGTAAATACAACAGAGTAGTGATTTTAGGTCCATTGTTTTAACTTATAAAGTTCTAGGACTCCATGAGATTCTAGGCTTCTATGTTTGTATCTATATTCAAAGCAAATCCAGCCTAAAAGACATCAGACGCTTTTCATACCTTGTTCAATATCATCATTCGGAAAGTCATCATTGCGTAGAATTTGTTGCACTCTAATGAGCAAATGTTGATTCTTGGATACCAACTCCTGCTTCTCATCATTCAGCCCTTTGATAACTCGTCCCATGGTAGATATGCGAGTAAGTAAATCGCGCCTTTCCGAATCATCCACCGTTTTGCGTGACTTGCTTTGTCGTTCAGTAGTAAGCTGACGCAGATTTTCGGATAACGTGATGTTTTCTTTTTGAAGTCGACGGACCTCTGCAATAGTTGCTTCAAGCTGAATTTGTAGCTCATCGATTCGTGTGAACTTCATATCTGTAACCAGCCGACTGATTTGAAATTAAATATGAAACAAAGTATAGCCGGTTTATCCTATCAAAGCGATACTGCCAATATAAGTGGGTTCCTCTTTGAACAGTACATCCAAGGGATGAAACTGTATTCTACAGAAATTTTGAACAATATGAAATTCAGTAAGATATGCAAAATATATATTACAGGTCCTTCAGTAGCGCTGCTTTCAAAATAACCATCTCAGAGTATAACCAGATCTGATCAACTTACTTGTATTCACTCTCCTTTTCTTGTAACCGCTGTTCCAAACGATAGATACGCTGATGCAACAATCGGAAGGTTCGCATTGTTTGTGGCCTGTTATCACCAAGAGTCTGTAAAAGTTTGGCATTCTAGTTGGGCAAATGAGCAGCTGAATATTTCTGATTATCTTACTTCGGCCGGGTCATTTAGCTGAGCCAGTTCTTTTTCCTTCTTTGCTAGCGAATCATTCAGCTGGCGGCAGCGAGCGGTCAGCGCTTGGTTTTCCGCATTCTGATAGGCTATCTTCTGTTCAAAGAGTTAGGAGGGGTTGTCAGTAATGGAGAAATGGATATCGGGACAATGAATAGATGTTTTGAACTTTTAGTTCAAAAACAGACCGTGTTCTAAAAGTGCAGAAGCTCCAGTCGCCTGAAGTTTATGCACCCATGAATAGAAAAACAAGGGTGAAACGGAGTGCCTGAAGTAGTTGAATTTCCGGTCCACTGTTCAACTATTCTAACAAGCTTATGCCTTACTTTGAGGCAGTCAAACTGTGGGACACAAAGTTCAGACCTCAAAACCATCGGATAGGTATTGTTTCATAGCGGAAATTAGCAGTCAGTAACCCTAACCGTTGCATTTCCTTCAAAGTTTGTAAACAACACATTGGCTCACGAACAGCAGCGGAATACCTATTAGATCAACTTCTTTCTTTTCTCAAGAAGACGTAAACAGCTTCGTCAATATTGGTCAACATCCATGGACAAAAAATGTCCAGTTTGTCCAGATTTTAGTATGCAATGCAGGGGAACTTCACAAAGGCGTTGATTGAGGAAGGACGCAGATCGGATCCGCCACTATCTGTGTTATGATTTTGAGTCTAAATCATATGTGCTGGAACTCATTCCACTTTTGACTTCAAATAAGCTTCCATGACCGCCTGGTATTGAACAGAACCGTCTTGGTGCTGGACAAATTTATCTACCAATACCCGTGACATCAGTATCATGTTCGCACTGTTCCGTGTGGAAAATGTTTGAGTGTCTTTGAGATGACAAACTTATTGATCGCGGGAGGGGGATTCAGAATTGACATGAGCAGCTTAGTTAGACTTGCTTAAATATCCCCATGGTTTGAAAAAGAACACAGTGACGAACAATAATGTTTTCGGGATCTCGTCATCAGGTCAGTACGTATCTAGTGGTTAAAATAGGAGCTGAAAATGAACTACGCTGCGAAGAGTGGTTAGTAAAGAGCAAAACTTGGAGACGCGAGCGATTGGTTGTCTGCGCCCCCCCATGTCGCATCTAGTTGGATACTGTGAGAGAGTCGAGAGGGCTGTTGAGTGACTTGGCCGGGTGATTCATGTCACACGACCAAGGCAGACTCAGCGTTCGTAAGAATGATTTGAGGTGTTATTATTGTGGCCAACCCTAGATTTTTAGTTCTATGAGCTCTTTCTATCTATAATAAATCTGCCTTCGTCCATGCTCTGGAGTTTTTTAGACGAGTTGTCATACAATGCAAAGCGAACATGGCAGTTGGCCCGAGCGACTGAAAGCAGCGGTAGTATGTTGAAGTCATTACAGACGTTTGGGCACAAACATGCTACAGAAACGTTTAAAAACTAGTGAATTAGATTATAAAGTTCTTCTTATCCAGTAACCAGCACCTATTGTACTCAGCGTGCTCTCCTCTATGGAATAAAGCTTGTCGCGCTAGATTAGACCTGGGAATATGTGAACGCGTAAAAATACTGCTGTCATGTGACTCGAGAGGAGGTCTTCTGGAGGTGTAGTCACGATGTGTTGGACATTCTAAAATACACACTTAATGAACTATACCCGAGTGGTTCCGGACCATTAGGATGCACCGTAGAACCCTGTTCTTTCTCTAAGAATACCTTTGGTCTGTTCAAAGGAAAATAGGTGATAGGTCATTGTTTTCGTAAACTCCCCCTAGTAAATTATGTCTTTTAGAGGCACAGTCATCCTATTCAAAGGCGGCACTGAACTCCAACCATCACCATTCCCACTTTCGGCACACAATGTTCAGACAGGCCACGAATGAATTCAAATTACCTTGAAATGTAAAACCGGATATGTTCTCAAAGATATCTCTTTTCTCTGCACACTAAATGGTTGAATCTGAACTGCTTACTACGTTATCCTGAGTGTATTATGTACAATAAGTAGAAAATTACCAACCTCCACTCACTTTCTTCAAAAGGCAGATTTCCTCAGATAAATCCTCCACGGCCTTCTCCTTTACGCTGAAGGAAGCTGACTGTCTCGGGCTGCAAACTGGCTCATTGAATAATAACCTTCTTAGGTGGTTTGATGTGGACAAATAAGCAAATTGTTCCTCAGGGATGTTGCTTGGAATATTACTGAATGATTTGCCACCCTGAGTTTTTGGACGCTGTTGGATCGTGGGTTTTCCGTGTTTCCGTGTGGTTGCCGAGCGTACCGTGGATCGAGCCGAAGGTACCGTCGATCGATGAAGGTTGGGAGTTGTGACTGTTCTTCTCATCAGCTAAAAACGGTTACGTAGTCGGTTATTCCACATCATCTTAAGAACACATCACAAGTTAACGTTTTCAAAGGAGCATCTCAGACCAATTAGTTCATCTAATTCTGAATCAGCTCGTTGGGTATTTTTTATGTGCAGATTCACTTAGCTGTAACAGTGTTAAACAGGAAACTACTGATCATCTGACATATATTATTTTTAGTCTTCTCATGATTATTGGGTGTCGTAATTGCTCACCACTGCTAAACAACGGTTTGGAGGATGCAAGTCGTTCTCGTAGTTGTGGCAAAGATCATTTTGCCTATATGGGCCTTATACAGATTGAAACCACTGATTGGTCAGCATAATTAGAGCATCAGTCTCTAACTCCAGCGTAAAGAAGCAACGAAGTGGTTGCTGGATCATCTTCACTCAAGTCAAGTACAGCGCTTCGCAATCTGTGGTCAGTTTTTAGTCAAGCTATTACAACCATTCTTGGCCGCTCAATGTTTGGTGACGCACTGAATTATGAAAACAACTTGGATCGCAGAAATCTGAGGAGAGAATTGTTTGATTTGTTTTTTACTAGGAAAATAAAGCGATAGTTTAAAACTCATAGCTGTGTATTGCGTTCATTTATCGGTCTGACAGTAGTATGAAATTTTCAAAAATTACAATCTGTAATAAAATTTACTGAACTTGGGAGAAGCTGCCGTGTGTTTGACCTATTATCTGCACATACTACAGAATTTGCCTGGAAAGATGGATAGTAGCTTTCCAGAGATAGGTGTGCGAATTTGCAGCCCTTTAAACCATGCTAGAAAGTTCAAGTAGAATAGACGTCCGGCTTTTGTGAGGTGTTAACATTTATGGGGTCATTTGAAGTCTGGAAAAGCTGCTGTTCTCCCGTTAGTAAAAAAAATTACCGCGTCTGGAAAACTGCTGTTCTCCCGTTAGTAAAAAAAATTCCCGCAGTCAAACATAAATTATTTCTCCATAGCCTGCCTCATCGGCAAATAATCGATTTGGCTGCGTTCGTGAATACCGGTGAAGTATGCTGGAAAACACGATCACTTCTAGTCTCATTCGAGGCTTTTTCAGTGAAGATGGGGCACGTATTCAAATATGGGCTCCTTCAAAAAGAGACTCGTGTCACATTCTGATCCAACTACGTAGCGAAAGATTTTCTTACCTATCTCCGAAATCTTACACTAGCGGCACCTCTATAAAGTTCATGAAATTAACATTTCAGAGGAGAATAATTTTGGCAAGTGATCATAGATTCTTTGACCATGATTTTTCGAATGTGGAACGACACGAACACCAGATACATAGCATTATCCGGTATTTTAAAACTGAACAAGCCTGAAGCCCCGCATCAATCCTGGTAAGGCTATTTCTCTAGTGCAGGGATAAATTCGGATGTAGCTTACTGGGTAGGTTCCGACTGATAGGCTTTCCATTAGCGCATTATGATATTGCTGGTGGAATATTAGCACCGACAAACCTTGTCACAAGATCCATCATCTAAATCATGTATGAGTTCTGACGGTCATATAACATCTACAAGGCATGGTCCCAGTTTTTGTGGCCATTAGCACCGACAAACCTTGGCACAAGATCCATCATCTAAATCATGTAGGAGTTCTGACGGTCATATAACGTCTACAAGGCATGGTCCCAGTTTTTGTGGCCTCCCTGCATTACGGTTCACAGATCTCGGATGACTTCACCTCCCCCCACATACGAAATGACAGGAAATCGTGCATTTCATTTTTGAGGTAGACGATGGCATTCACCTACATCTTCCGGCATTTTGTATCCACCGGCAACGCTGTGTTGCTATTTTGCTGAACATTTCGTTGCAACTCTATATCAAACTCCTGCATTTCCTTGTTTACGTTCCACTTGCCGACACTTTAGACTGTCCAGTTTAGAGAAGTTGATGCCTTGCACAGATGATGGGTTCGCAGATTTCTGTTTTGGTGTCCCTCTCTTCATCCGACTTAATAAATGTACCGTGATTCGGATACACCCGTGGGTGAAAGTTTTGATCATTACCGTGTCAGTAATGGCACGACATATTCTCTTACCATTATGCAAGTGTCTCACAAAGATTTCAAAACTAAGTTTAGATAGCTGTGAATGGTTATACTATACGCTGACGTCTACCTGAGTGTGACACGGATACCAGTGAGATTAAGAAACCTAAAAAAGGGATATCTATTCATCATCTTTCGTCATCATCATCTTTCACCTACACTGGACATTGATTGCAAAGATATATCATAGCATTTTAGCAGAAATTACCGTTTTTTGCCGCAATCGGCTGCCGTACGGCAGAAATGCCTCAGCACTATGACTCCTTGCTGCATAGATTAGTGGAAAAAACGAAAACATGTTACCATTCTATGACAATAAACACTCCAGAAAACACGGTTTTCTCAATGAACGAAACATGGAAAGCATAATAACGCACTTATTGAGGTTGTTTTCCTATCATCATCACTGTCAACGGATAACATGACAAATGGCGCATGCGGATACATAAAATGCCAAATAGTGGAAAGTCCAACTAGAGACCAGGCACTTCCGTACACAGTGAAAGTGCAGAAGATGTGGAAGGTCTTTGCTACCTGAAACAGCCATGACCTTTACCTCTTAATTTGAACAGCTGTCCAAAAGTTCTATGGGACAGTGAAAGGACAGACAAAAAGATAGCTCACTAATTGACTTGTGAAGACCTTTACTGCAAACCTACTAGCTAGCCTGCTGCAACGCTAAGCCTGAAAACAGTGCAGGTGAGTAAAATGAATGAAACATCTTAATACCTCGTTAGAAGAGGAAGCAAATAATCCAGCTATATTTACTAAACCTCAGTGGGAGATAAGGCAAGGTAATCTGCATCCGGCCTCTTTAAAAGACAAAGGACAACAATCTGACATGCTTTTTGTGCAAAGTAGATGGAAGAGAAAGTGTCTCCGGATTGAGGAACATTCACAGTCAGTGGCTAACCGAATGGTCGCTCTTTATGCACAAATGATGTCATCACTGTGTGTGAGCTTTTGTAGCATTAACATGGTAGCTGTCACATTGAATTTGCATTCTGTACTCATCCTTCGAAAGCCGAATCAAAACAGGAGGAGGCAGATCGATAAAAAATAAACTGGGTCCCGTCCTGTAAGTGGATGCATCCATCACATTTTGACAAGGTTTATAACAGCGATACTGTTTCCAGCAACCAAGAATGGTTGCATCCTCTGAGAAGAAAGCTTCACCAGACCCTGCGGACCATCAGGCGTAACATCAATGTCCATGAGGCAAAGGTTCTCCTCATTAGGTCGCTGCACGCTAACCCCAGTGAATGAGAGTTGTTCTACAAGAAGCTATTGTCTGAGTCCACCAAAATGAATAGTGTTTGGAAAGCCATCCTCTCTTACCCTTTCTTTTCAGAGTCACTCGTGTTACGGTCACTGGAAACCCACTCTCACTCTCTAGCACCTGTAAGGCTGAATGCTTCCACGAATTCTGCCCACGTTAATCAATTATGCACAAAAAGCAGGTTTTCCTATATTTGACGCCATAAAAGTGAACTCGATATTAAATAATCTAGGTTATTTTGTTCTATATTTTGACGTGCGCTTTAAACATGTGAAGTGTAAGGTGCTTCTGCAAGATCAGTTGGACGCGAACTCAATCTCTGTACATTCGGAAGAGCTACCTAAGGTAGGAGACAGACGTGTTTACCTAAACATCCCTATAAGTCCTTGTGTTTAGATATGCCATTTCCATTTGGATTAGGAAGACTAGAGTACTTTTTGTGAAAATTCATCACCGATGCCGTGGGTGTGACGTCAGTTGCAGGCAAAACAAGGTTGATACTTGTGTGCTTCAAACTTGCACTAACGCCCTCATGTAAAAGTTATGCTCCATGTTCAATAAGTGACGGTTGAAAAACATTATTGAAAGCCTCAACCTTCTGGAGTCACCATCATCATCGGCAACATGACATCAGTGTTCAACACCGATGCTCCCATGTTGATACCCTCCGGAGTGTCAACACGGAATCATTACGTCAGAACGAACGCGGTAGTGTACAGTGGTAACCAATTCAAATCCAACACAGTAATCAACCCAGATAAGTTTTATTGCTTTCAAAATCTTTTTTGAAGCTAATGTTTGCGCCTGTTCCATTCCTGAAATCTTGGATATGCACATGAGAAATAATCTGTTGCTCCATCATTCGAGCAACCGGCTGAACATAGGAAGAAGACTGATCTTATGTGTTTTTCCAGTAAAAAAGTCAAACGTTGGAAAGCTAACGTGAACATTTTCTAACTGACTGTGTAGTTTGCGTTACCTCCTTAAAAGAGTCATGAGACAAAATACCCAGGACATAAATTTTTAAATTTTGTTGTGTCGGTCGCTAGCTGACGGTTTATTCCGCCTGTTGGTAGCTGATGACAGTGAGCTTGACTAATAGTCAAGAATAAAACATCGTTTGGTCCTTTGTCTTACGCTGAACTAAAGCCACTTAGTTCACTTCGCAGAAAATTGGAATAATAGGGTTATAACGGACACGCTTTGGTATCAACAGCCAGGCGTTTTGCTGGCTCAAAAGTTCCATTTCGTTTGACGTGACGAAGGCAAGAGCCTTAATGCAGAACATCTAGCGACATCGTGACACAGCCTATGTTAGCAGGGGTGCTCATCATCGGTGTAGCCTCCTCGTGATCCTTATTCCTATAAGTGACATTTTCCAGCCGCAAATATTCCCTTCCAATAGAGGACTTGCACTTTGTCCCCATCTCGTGAACTGACCACTTCTTATTCATTGTTACAAAATTTAGTGCAGCTCAGATTACATTTGAGAGTTACACTGTCCTCTTGTACGGCCTACTGAGTGGGCGCATTTTACTATCAAGTACCCTTGCGAAACATTTCAAGGCATCCTAGGATTAGCAATTCAACATTCAAAATGTGCATTTAAAAATCTGTATCCGTTTATTTTTTAAACGATTTATGCCTTATTCACACTTTATTTACACCTTATTTACACCTTATTTGTGCCTCACACAATCCAGAAATGTTCCGCTGCCTTGGAAACTTCCCGCCAAATCTGTCTAGAGTGAGTAAGAGATTTCTGCTAATCACAGAGGCATAGCGTCACCTACTCTTCTCACCCACTTTCTTCTCCAGGACGGGATGTTGCCATGACCTCCCAAATTTTGTCCCAAAGTGGGCTTAGACATCATTGAAGCCACTGTCCTCTCAAAGCTTCCAGAATGCTTGTACTTCCGTGATCATCATCGCATTCTTGCTATTTGTTTATTTACATTTTCAAGATTCTACTATATCTGCAAATTAACCAGCACCTTAGGACACCAACTGATAACAAGTTTTCTCGTTACTCCTAATATTTTCAGTTAATGGTAGCCTCTGTAAGTAAAAAAAAACAAAGATCCTCAGCGTTTCGAGAGCCGTCGAATAGGTTTATTCACAAGATAAAAGACTTGAGCTCTTTTGCCACCATAAAGATTTAGAAAACGACACAGCCTACGCCCCGGATATCCAAATAACCACCACATTCATCTCAACAGGTTTAGGACATAGACATATTCGCCGATCTATAGGTGAACCTGTGGGCCTTCTTCCTCTTCCTCTTCGAACCTCTTTTCAGCCTTGCTTCCGAAAGTTGCAGTGTGCTGCAATATTTTGTTGAGAGAGAAGACGGATCTGGTAGTATTTATGGTGAGTCTTTTGAGACACCGAGAGCTGCCAAGTCCTTTGTGGTTCTTCTGATTTCGTACCCGAAATTCACATTGCATCAGTCAGTTATTTCAAACCATCCAACCCGCCTTCGATTCTATCTAGACCGCGTGTTCAAAAAGAATCGTTGATACTATGCTTGCGCAGTCAAACCATGGTCATTCGGCCACCATATTTGACGGCGTCTGTCTTGGTCTTGAAACTGCAGTGCTTAACGACCATGACCAGTCTGTAATACACAAAACATTCTATTGATGTTTGTCAGATGTAATGTCGCAAAGAGATCAGTACAAGAAAATCTTGACTTGCAGTTCACAAGACGAAATTCCGCTGGTCCTTAATGCGTTCAACAGCCACACCAAGAAGAAAAGCTTCTATCTACCTGGTATTCTAAACATTCGATAGTCGCGATGTTAATCCACTGATGTGAATGGGTGGGTTAGGTGTTTGTAGCTAAAAATTTGTTCACGATGGAAATTAGTGCCAAAAAATGTTATTTGACAGCCAGATACAACAGCAGTAAGCCAGCAAAGGGCGCAGTCTTGTAAATGCTTGATATCGTATTTCAGTGAAACAAACTATGTGCATTAACGATACTGAATGGGAAAAACATACAAAACTGACCAGATAATAGAAGTTCACGGATGCTACAAATTTTTTCAACACTGCTGAAGCCATTAATCTAGTTTAATTTGTAGTGAATTCACAGAGAATTTTTCCTTCTTCTCCTTCGCATAAGCCGAGTCACAAAATAAATGCCTAATTTATGACTTTTTAGTCACACATAGTTGCTCAAATCACTGGTTTGTACCGACAAAAGTCGTACTGCGTGAATGTAGAAACCATGAAATTCTACTAAAAGCATGAAGAAACACTCTATTCCCTGGGCACATGCGTATGGAATCTGTGAAAGCCATAAAAATAATTTTGCTTGAAAGATTAACCCATATAAGTTTCCATTTTCCGTTCAAATCCTATGGAAACTTAATTTCCGTTGGAATAACATTAACTCCACATGAGTGACAAAATCAGATACCAAATGGTTTCGATGATGGCGGTGCTCATATAAAACTGTCTAGAAACGCAAACATGTGCAAGGGCTCTTTATGGGTCATCTTGGAATGTGGAAGCAATTATTGTGTCAACTAAACACAAATGCAAAAATGAAATAAGCGCAAACATTCAGTGGATATTTTTTACACAGTTTGAAAAATTAAAACAAGATTAAGCCGACTCGCCAAACGGGTTATGCTGCCTTTAGGCATATGCAGCTCCCATTTAAAGCTTTGTTTGTAGAAGGAGAACTTTCACACTAAATTGTAGTACTTCTCTGCGTAAATAATCGGACCAAGAAATACCATAATCTGGCGCACTTTGTTAAAAGTATTTTAAAATGAGCCTTTTTTGTAACTGATAGCGCGCGCCGGCGGCTAGACGCACAATGTATTTTTCTGCAAAACGCAAAAAAATAATGGCAGATGAGGGGGGTTTTCAGTCTACGCATATATGCAAAGAAGTGCAACATTTTGACGTTAAAGTTTTTATTTCGTCCGCAGGGGTTTTGCAGAAAAATACATTGTGCGTCTAGCCGCCGGCGCGCGCTATCAGTTACAAAAAAGGCTCATTTTAAA